CTGGTATTGAAATTAAAGAAAAACAGGCAGAAAACTGTTTGTGCCAAGCAATTAAATTTGGTATTTCATTATTATTTATTTATTTTTTAATTTTCAGCCAGAGACTTCCCAAACACGTTGAGGCAAATAAAATGGTAACAGGTTTGGTTAGATTGGCTCTGCGACTTTAGCAGATTTCGGTTAGGCTGCACGAATGGAAGACTCCAAATAGAAGCCATTCAAATAAGTTTAGCAGAATACAGCTGAAGACAGCTCGTTACCAACTTGACAGTAGACAGAGTTAACTGATTAAGCTGGAAAATGGCATATATATACGTATGTATATAGTTGAAAAATTGTTCGTTAGTTTCCATTCAGCCAACGGTAGCCAAGTGAACTGCTCAACTATCACTTTAAAAGTCAAATCTGTAGCAATCTATGAGCCCAGCCCAAGTCTCGTGCTTCCAGCTGCACGTATTTTGTTCCCATGCCAGAGTAGACGGCGAAAAACCTTTAAACAAATCAAGCAGCGACCACACAAAACCCAACAACAGCTAACAGCAAACAGCAACAAACAACGTCAACAACTGACAAACATTTGAGCGAGCTGCAGATGAAAAAAAAATAAATAAAAACTGCAAATAAAATCAGCCAACAAAAATGGCCAAAAAGCGACACAGACAAAAAACTTGTTGACACAAAGCTCTACACCCATTGTATCTGGGCTATATGGGCATGCCAGCTCGCTCTAGCGTGCACTCACTCGCCCTCTCTCTCTTTCTCGCTCTTGCTCTCGCTCTCGCACACAGCCAAGCGCTCACTTTGTGTGTCGGCACAATTTAAGTTTCAATGAGCGACTATTTGTTGCAATTTAAACTGAACGCGTTTATAAATTGACGTCGGAAACTGGCGTCGAGTGCTCATAGGAGGCCACCAATAGCCATCCCCTCCCCGCCCCGCCGCGCCGCGCTCCTCTGCCCACTGCACCTCAGCTGGGCAGGTAACACAGTGACGTCGTGAGCGAGGGGGGTGTGGGGTGTGGGGGGTATGATGAAGAGGTGGGGAAGGGGCGGAGGGATGGGCCAAATCAACTGGCAGTAGGCAGCGACTGTGACAGCGACAGCGATGCTGCCAGCTGCGGACAGGCAAACATTTTGCACGCTGCGTTGTTGTTGCTGTTGCTGTTGTGATACCCTATAGCTGTGGTAAAATCAAATATACATATTCCAACTTTATATATCTGTAAAGATTTTTTTTATAATAATTGTAATAATATTATTTTCTATAATATTGAGTAAATTATATTAATAATAAAAATTTACAAATATTTTTTTATAATAATTATAATAATATTATTTTCTATAATATTTAATAAATTATATTAATAATAGAAATTTATAAATATTTTTTTTTTATATATTTGTAAATATATATTTTTTTTATAATAATTATAATATTTAATAAATTATATTAATAATAAAAATTTATAAATATTTTTTTTATATGTTTGTAAATATTTTTTTTTTAATAATAATTATAATAATATTATTTTCTATAATATTTCATAAATTATATTAATAATAAAAATTTATAAATATTTTTTTCAACTTTAAAATTACTAAACAATTTATGCAATCTATATCTATTTTATATAATTATTTAATATTTGTATTTTTAAACTATATGAAAATACGCATATTCTGCTTGGTCTGCTTACAGGGTATTTACAGTCTGTACATCGTAACTAGATCACTCTAACAAGCAATTGTTGTTGTTTTTTCTGGTTTGTGTCCGAAAAAGTTAAGCGACGTTTAAATAACATAAATTAATTTCGACTAGTTATAGTTATCTATAGTCATAGTTGTTTGGCTTTTGTGGTCGACTAATTTGTGCGGTTGGCAGTTTTAATTTACCAGTTGTATATTGTCCGCTAAGGGGAGAGTGCGGGGCAAGGCAGCGAATAAGTTAGTTTGTCAGCGAACTAATAAATTTGAAATTTTGTGAACGAATTTTACGTTATCTGGCCATAATTTTGGCCAAAATTGAAATTATGTTTTGTTGAATATTATTCTGTAAGACTTGCTTCAATGTGTTGTTGTTATTCTTTTACTATTCTTTATTAATTAATCTACTATTAGTTAATCTGAAGCGTAAATGAAGAAGTTTCAGAGAGCCATATTGTTGCGTTTGGGTTAATTTGTTCTCTGGGCAAGATCTATAGGGCCGCCAACAAAGTTATCCTTGGCATTGCGAGGGCTAAACAAAAGACTCGAAACAAATTAAAAAGCCACGCAACTTAACTTTTTCCCATTTGTAAAACGTTGGTAACAATGGGCCGCTCCCCACAATCAACACCATCGAGTGGTGATCGCGTCGTCGGGGCAGACGCCTTGGCACCACGATTCACCAAACACTTAATGATGGATTTTACACTTGGCTAATAGTTTTTTGATACAAAATTTAACGCCAAAGCCAAATTACAATAGGCACTCACACTCACGCACCTCCGCCCCGGCCACACACACAGCAGAAACTTAATTAGTTTTCAAAGTGCAGCCAACATCGAGTATCGGAAAAAATGATAAATTGTTGCAAAGTCTTGGCTCGCTGGCTGCTTCCAAGCTGTCTGGACCGATCTGTGTTTCTGTGCCGATATACATATATTGAGTTACGATGTCAGCGGCGTAGATCATTAAAATTACAGAGTTTCCCGAGTTCCCAAGAAATGCCAGGCTGGCCGCAACAGCTGCTTGGCACTGTGGCATCCACATCAGAGAATAAGAAATAAATAAAAGGAAAAAACTTTGTAATTTTTCAATAAGAAGAGTCCACCAAAACTAAATTAGCTGAACGTAGGGAACGAGAGCGCATGCAAATTTCACAGGAATCAAAAACGCGAAACGTACAAATAATAATAAAAATAATCAAGAAGAAGCAGCACAGCAGATAGGCTTATATATATGTGTATGTATGTATATGTGGGTATACCAAGCCCAAAAAGTCGTTGCAGCCGCGTGTGACTTATGACTGAGGCGCAGACTGAACTCGAGCCGGGACTGGGGTTGTCTCTGAAGAGCTGCGACTGCGACTGGACCTTAGCCAGAGCCTGTGCCCGTGCCTGTCCCAGTGCCTGTGCCTCGAACTGGCATCGTGTGTCTCGTTTCGTTTTGGCCCATGTGCAGACAGTTGCGAAATTATATTTGCGCAGCGTCATGCAGCACCATTGTGTTCCGAGCAGGGATCGAGCGAGCCAGGCGGACGACTCCGCGGCCGATTTGTCAGTGCAGACGAATAGTTTAACTGGCCCAAGTGCTTTTGCATACACTCAAAGAAAAGTATATATATATATATAACTAAGATAAGCCAGCGATGTATGTAAATCAAAAGGTTGCTTTAAAATTGTGAGCCAAGGCTTGATATGGATAACAAACTAGGAAAACTATAAGCACAGCTTAGTCTAAGCATTTGAGCCTCTACTATGCTTCAATTGACCTACTAATTTTCTCTGAGTGCATTTGGTTTTGCAGGTTGAGAGGCTGTGAGCGGCTGCCCTAGTCCCTTGGCCAGACTGCATCATCGTCATCGTGCTATTCAAACAAATGATTTACAAAATGTTAAATGAATTATGCATTCTGCATATGCGGCTGGGCCATTTCGTGCCATTTTTCATATTAGCTCCAAGTGCAGAACCTGTGCCAGCGACTCCAGTAACAGCTCCAGCTCCGACTCCAACTTTGGTGTTGGCTTTAATAAATTGGCGTGGGGTGCGCCTGCAGCAATTGTTGTTGTTGCTGTTGTTGTTCGCTTTGACCATTGTGGCTAAGCGCTGGGAATTCTATGCTGAGTCGAGCAATGTCAATGCCTAAGCAAATATAGCAATGCTTTAGCCGCAGACCTTTAATAATCAAGTCATATAAATTGAGTGCATTTTTCATAATAAATGAAGGGAATCGTCTAAATTATGCTGCCCAGCCAACTGGATACATCGATGGCAGAGTGCGTGTGGGTTTCCAAGGTGGACGGACTTTCGCACGTGGGAAACAGCATAGATGAGGCAGGTTGATGATTATGAAAATGGGAAAAGTAAGAGGCGTGATGTGATGGTCTATTACATTAAAGCTCAATCAAAAAACTGTCGATTATAAAAGGAATTTTCGCTCGTCTCAGTTAGGATTTCCCCTTAAAAGTTGTCCAGAATTACTCTAGTACAAGAAAAGAAGCAATCTTTCTCCTTCTCTTTCTCTCCCTCTATCTTTATCTTTAAGCAGTTCTCTCACTCTCCCGTAAATTATAAACATATCGAGTAGCACATCATTATAAAATCTAGGCAAGGAACACAATCAAAATCGGGTAGCGAGTCAATGTCCAAGTGTCTTCATTAAGCATGTAAAATATGTTGATGTGCCTTAAAACAATATTTGCTCACTTTTGGCCCAAACATCTCTGTTTAGTTAGCAATTAAAGAGGCTCGATGGGTGGGTGTGTGTGTGTGTGTGTTGGGGGAGCAGGCAGCAGGCTGCTGCAGCAGTTGCAACAAGTGCAACACCCCCAGAGCCCCAGCATAATGTCTATGCTGGCTGTCAGGGCCGATGTTGTAAACAACGGGCGCAGCATATTTAGTATGTGTGAAGAAAATGAATGTGCAACATGAGGCAAGAGCCTCGAGACTAACAGTAGCCAGGGATAGAGCCGCCCAGCTAATTATGTTGAAAGAGTAGCAACTGCAGTCCATTCGCATCTCTGATGCTCTGCAAATATTGAGAAATTTATAGAGAAGTGAGAGTATTATAAGTAAATTTGATCTATATTAGAGCTAAAATCATTCAGTAATTCAACCCTCATCTCTTAGAACATACCAGAATGAGAGACGAGGAGTTTTCCATGTCTGCATTCGGTTAGCTCACCCACTCGTCGTTCATTTATAGAGCACAACTTGGTTGAGCATACTCAACTAGAGCAGTCCTACGCCTCCTCCATCCACGCCGAGCACTTGAGCCTTCAGCAAGACCCTTGGCCTGCACTAAAACTGATTTATGCGCTATGCAGGGCCAGACTTGAAGGCGACTGCGACTGCGGCTGCATCTTAGCCTGCTGAAAGTTTCAAGTATTCAGAGATTGTCGACAAAGGCAAAAAGGCAAAAGGTAAACTCTGCATAAATATCAAAGAACATTGCATTGTTTTTGCGTGCGCGCAATAAAACAAATTATAATATAAACTGAACTTGAAGTTAACATATAAAATATAAGTAGTATGTTCCATGTAGATGAATGTGTGTGCTCATTGAACGTTGGGCGGAACTAGCTTGAGCTGTTCGTGCAACTGCGCATTGAACTGCTGCAGCAGATCCTCCCGCTTCTCGAGGCGCTGCGTCGTATTGAACTTTGTCTCCGCATTATACAGCATGCCCACCTTTGTGGCTATGTCCTCCTCCAGCTCGGGGCTGTGCTCGACGCTCTCCTTGTAGTAGTTGGTGCAAGTGCGCAGTGCATGCTCAGCGAGGCGTGCCACATGCTTCTTATAGGTCAGAGCCGGCGGATCATTATCGTTGTGAGCGAGATCCATGACGACATCTTCCTCGGGCTCGCTGCGCCGATAGAACCGTACGCTGGGCACATAGTTGCAAATGCTGTAGTCGCTGCTGTTCGTTGTGCTGCTGCTGCTGTTTCCACTGTTGTCAGCTGGCAGCGAATGGCAGCTGCTGCTGTTGGAGCTACTTCCGGTCTTTTTCTGCTTGCCCTTGCCAGCTTTGGGCACTTTTGGCAGTGCCTCATCCCGGCTGCTTATCTTCGGTGATTTCGTACTGTTCTTAGCCGAGCCGTTCAGCTCATCGTCGCTGGGATACTGAACTCCTTTCTCCTCGCTGGCAATGCTTGTCTGAGAGCGCTCCTCCGACAGCTGCTCACTCTTCATTCTTCTGCCCCTCGCTCGTGCTTTGCGATCGCCCGGCTTATGATAGCCAATCTTCTCCAGTCGAGCCGTCCTCTCATAGCTATCGCTGTGATCGCTGTAGATAACTTGTATGGGACTGCTCGCCCGATCACGATATTTCTTGGTCACATTTGGCATGGAGAGTGTGCTGCTAATTAGAGAAGTGTTTGCACTCGTATTCTGGCTGCTTAAGTAATAATCATCGCCGCTATCATTATCGTATGTCAAAGAGCAGTCATTAGTCTCATTGTAATACGCATGCATATCGCTAGTGGATCGTTCAGTGGGCCATGTCGAGTTCATTGCGGACTGCAGCGATTTGTGACTAGCGATCGATCCGCTCTCCGATTTATTGAGCCTGTGCTGGGATCGACGGGACTTGCGTATGGCACACGATTCAGAGCGCTCAATTTCGTTATGTTTATCAGCATTGAGCATTTGAAAATCCTTTGGCATCAAAAACTTACGTCGTTCAATGTGCGGTGATAAAAACCTTGCCAATTGAGCCACCCATTTCAATTTCCCATCCTTGCTGAAGCTCTTCTGGCTTTGCTCCTCCACATCACTCGATGAATTATGGGTGATATTTGATATATGCTGAGAGCTGTATGCTTGAGACTCGTCTTCGTGACTCAGGGAGAAATCTATGGAATTATCTTGAATTTCCTCTACATGATCAGCATCACTTTTATATGCACTGCTATTCCAAAGTTCTTCTTCTATAGCTTCGAATGAAATATTTGAAGTATTTTCTTCATATTGTTTACTCCTTTCACTTTTGCTGACAACGCGTTTTGCTGAATTTAAAGAAGTATTGCTCATGACCTCCCCGGCTTGCTCAAAGTTTTCATTATATTCACTTCTTTGGGATATTATCTCTTTACGAGATTCTAGAGAATAAGTCGAACTATTTGCTTCGTTTTGCTGCCAAATGTCGTTCTTCCCAGAGCTGGGCTCGTCCTCAGTCTTGTGATTAGCATAATCAACAGAGCTATTTTCTTTAAATTGCTTCTGATAAACCGCATTTTGTTTGGTATCCGACTTCCTGGTCTTACGCCCTGGAGCAGATTTTAAGGAACTTTGTACTTTGTTTGTACTTGAATTTACTTTTTTGCTCTTACTACCAGATTCCTTTATATCTAAGCATTTTTCAGACTTTTCCTGGCTTGAATTCATTTGATTGCTGCCTTCGGTACGAACAGAGGAACCAGCTTTAGTTGGAGTTTTCGGTAAGGGTTCCGGAGAACGTATATAAATTTCACAATGTTCAAATTGCAGCACCTTGGATTTTCCAACTTCATTCTCGGTTAACTTTGAGCAGTTTTGTAGAGACTGTGCACGAGGCTTCTCACTGCCCTCAGACATTTCACTTCGGAGCTCAGCATGGCTCTCGGATTTGATGCTATTTCGCTCACGAGTAGAGCCTTTAAATTCCGAGTGGCTTGAGTGGCCCTTGGCAGGTTCATGACACTCTGATTGAACATTTTTCATCTCTGCTATGTATTCGAAAAAACTCTTTCTGTAGCCAGAACGTAAGGCCTGCTTAAAGCTATCAATCATGTCCGACTCTTCGGGCAATAGGTATTTACACCCATCCTCGTTGAAATAATGATCATTCGTTGATGATTGACGATATTCCGATTCCTTATCACTTTCATTTGAGGTCTCTGTTGTAGTGCTCTCACCGTCTTTACGGAGCTCGCCTAAGTTATGCACCCATCGGGCTGTACGTTCTCTGGATTTCGATCTGAAAAAGTTTTCGCTTTGATTTGTTTCCTTATGGGTAATTATTCGATAGATCTGCTCAGCTTTTTTCTGACGGGCTCGTGACTCCTCGCAAATTTCACTATAGATCTGACTGAAAGTTTTCGACTCATCACTCGAGGTTTGCGTAACTTGACTTAATTCTGTGTCAGATTGTTCCTTTCTTGACGAACTCTGTTGTTCATCTGCTGTTCCCTCTATCTTTTTTGTGCTGGAATCTTTAGACTTCGAGACTTCGGCTTTTTCACGATTTGTCAATGAAGTTTCATCGGTAAAAGTTTCGGGATCAATTTTGCGTATGAAATTTCTTATGGCCATATTATGCGGTATATTATGAGTATAAGCCGCATCCTGCTCTGCAATAACCTGCTCAACATAAACATCCGCACGTTTCTTGCATTTCTTATATAGACTAGAATTACTGCCTTCAGATGTGTTTAGGTTAGATGCAAACTTTCGATGATCATGTTGGCGAATAGTCTCCCTTTTCCGATCATATAACTCCCGATCCCATTCAACTATTTCACTGCTCGAGTTGAAGCTTACATCTTGTGACACGGAAAGTACACTTGGCTTGGAATTGGTTTTGTTTTCGGGACGCCGCTGCTGACGACGATTTGATATACTTTGAGACATGGAACGATCTTTTGAGGTACGGGAGGTAGCAGAAGTCCGATTTACAAAACAACAAGTTTTTCGAGTAGAAAAGCGAGTCCAATATCAACTAGCCTCGAGCTAGGTTCAATGTGTTGTGTGTGTTCGATTATGTATTAGTGTTCTACATGGTGTAATGATTGCTACTTGACATAAATAACACTGAAGCTGTGTTATCACATGGCTTACTAAACACAAGCACATACATTTCATCACAATAATGACCTTTGCTTTCAGCACAATCATCAATTTGCGTTCAGGCCTATGCCACACACCAAACACCCACACACACACACACATACACACAGAGAACAACTGCAACAACTTGGCAGCCAAAAGGGAGCCAAACAACTAGCCATGTGCTAGGCCACAAAACATAATACCAAATACAGCAATCAATTAGCTGCAGAAACAGGAAAACTTTACAAAAAACAAGTAAGAAAACTCTAGTCGAGAGCGCTCGACTAGATACTACCCTAAACCAAACTAATAGAAAAGCACATTTAGTATGGTTCAAATTTCAATTTCGATGTATTTGAAAATATAAATGAAATAGAAAACTCATTTAATTAAATATATAAAAATTTTGACACAATTA